GCGCGGGTGGGGAAATCCGCGATGAAGGAGCCGTGGGTAGGGGTTCCCGCCCAAAGGCTGGACTGACTGGCTACAATGTATCAAACCTCCTAATCCCAGGTTTCCAACAGCCTTGGGAGTTAGAAGACGTCTCAAGACCTGGCCATATTGCCAGCGGTCTCGACATAATGCTTGAGGGTACTTCCACCTTCTAGACCGTTATTTGCATTACTGATCACACCAGGTCCGATCGGCGGTGCCTCATTTAATAACGAGTTCGGTCGTCCATGTATCACAGGTTACTTTCGAACGTTTCTTGCCCAAATCCCACTAATCGACGGAAGTGAAGAACTTAGGGGGTGAGTGTGTTCTAGGCGTGAATTTCCTGAGTCGAAAAGAGATAACCGCTGACGCTATAGCTTAGGTATCATAAGCCAGTAATGCTCGCTGGAGGTTTGGGAACGGTACGGCCATTGCATGCTCTCAAAGACGCCTCAATTGTCCAACCGGGGTCATTTATTATCGTGCTAGGGGGACCCGCAATGCTAATAGGCCTTGGAGGTGGGGCCGCAAGCTCTCAGACCTCAGCTGAAGGCTCTGCAGATTTGGACTTCGCCAGTGTGCAACGTGGAAATGCAGAGGTACAGAGGAGGGCACAAGAAGTCATCAATTCCTGTGTAGCCATGGGTTCAGAAAATCCTATACTCTTCATACATGACATAGGAGCTGGAGGGCTATCAAATGGTATTCCAGAGCTGGTGCACGACTCGCGGTTGGGTGCAAAGATGGAACTGAGAGAGGTTGATAATGCGGACCGTGGCTTGAGTCCGCTGGAAATATGGTGATTGTTCAAGGCAGATCATCCCACAAATTGACTCCTGCTTACCACTACTCAACAGGTGCTGCGAAGCTCAAGAACGATATGTAATAGCAATTTCTCCGGCGAGTATCAACGCATTTAAGGCAATTGCCCTCCGTGAAAGATGCAGTGAGTACCTTCAGGATAACCCCTCCCCAGTCCGTACCCAAGTTCAGACTGCATGACATGTCGCCGGAGTTGGTTGATTCCTTTGAGTCTCGCTCTACTCTCAGAACACCTCTCAATACTGCAACATCTGTTTCGAAAAAACGATGCTAACATCGAAAATCTCGAACAGGCTACTCGGTCGTGGGGAAGACTGACGGCAAAAAAGGAGGAAGAGATAACAGACTCCTTTTAACTGATCGAGAATCGAGTGAACATAAAGAACCAATCAACCTTCCCATGGAGACACTTTTCGGCAAGCCGCCGAAGCTGTCTCGCGTCGTGGAATCTCGAAAGCTCTCGCTACCATCGTTCGACAGCAGCCTAGCGACCTACCTACCCAAGATGGAAAGCGGCTTCCTCGAAGTAGCCATTCAAAGAGTGCTAACTTTACCCTCGGTAGGGTCGAAGTCTTTCCTGATTACGATAGGAGACCGGTACGTCTACCTTTCCGAGCAGTCTCTGCCTAGTTCGTATCCCGATGAGAGCCCTGAAATTTGTTCCAAAAGTATCATACTCACGCATCTTGTCTTGGGACTCCATTTCCACCTCGAAGAAGAATGGCTAACTCCGAACACTTGAAGATCTGTATCAGGCCTCGTTGTCCGAGATCAGGTACGTACATTCAGGAGCTGATTGTTTCTGTTTGGTATTCCAATCGAGTCATACAATATATTTTGGGGGCAAAGAAAATATATTCTGCCTCTAATAAGCAGAGCTGATCTCGAAATCTGCCTAGATGGTTGGGCCTTTCCAAGTCCCTGTGGCCGATGTTGGGATAACAGCGACTTCCCTGAAGCTTGGAATGATTACTGGGGAGGCGATGGCGATGGGCGGTACGTAAACACCGCGGCGTCTTTCGTCATCTGGCACCTGGTGCTGAATCGCGAGACATTGCTGACCTCGAGGTCTTCTTCTCCAGAGAGACCCATACTGGCACTGATATCTCCAGCTGCGTCGGCACGTATGGCAGTAGCAGAAAGTCTTATGAACATCGCTGCAGCAGACGTTCTTCTTGAACGAGTGAGTCTTTCGGCAAATTGGATGGCCGCTGCTAGACATCCCGGTGAAGCTGCCGCTCTTTACGACGCTGTTGAGGCGATTGGCATGCAGCTTTGTCCTGAATTGGGTATTAGCGTGCCTGTCGGCAAAGACTCCACGAGTATGTCGATGTCCTGGAAAGATAAGCACTCGCAAGAGGAAATAAAGGTCACGGCACCCTTATCCTTGGTCATCTCGGCCTTTTCTCCCGTGAAGAACACTCGCCATTGGACGCCAACTCTGCGACGTCCTGAAGAGCAGGGTATTGGCGAGACGATCTTGCTTCTGGTCGATCTGGCCGAATCACGACAATGTCTTGGTGGTTCCGCATTGGCACAGGTCTTCGGTCAGGTGGGGAACGAGGCGCCCGATGTCCGTAACGTCCAGTTGCTCAAGGACTACTTCGACGCCATAGAACAGCTTCACGAAGCTGGTGTCGTCCTTGCATACCACGATCGAAGTGATGGCGGTACGTGTATTCGGAGTCACTATTGCCTCTTTCGGCCTAAATCCCGAGTCTTCAGACAAGCTCATACCCTGAAGACATATTCCAAGACTCAAACGCGCTTCTTAAACAGGAAAGGCTGACTCCAAAATCCGTAGGACTCTTCACTACGATCGTCGAAATGATGTTTGCTGGGCACTGCGGAGTCAACCTAATGGTTGATGCTATTTGCCGAACAACCGACACTACCCATGTCCTAAGTTCTCTCTTCAATGAAGAGCTGGGAGCCGTCTTTCAGGTTCGCAAGCGTGACGAGATTCATTTCCATAGATGCTTCGCAACATGTGGACCACCATCAAACCTGATTAAGAAGATTGGCCGCGTGGCTCCTGCTTCCCAGCAAGACCTCACCATCTACCACGGTTCTCAACTCGTGTACCGACAGAGTCGCACATTGCTTCAGCAGACATGGTCGGCAACGTCGCATCGAATGCAACGCCTCCGTGACAACCCAGCTTGTGCGGACGAGGAGTTCAACAAAATACTCGACTCATCTAGTGCTGGACTTTCCTACAACCTGACTTTCAACCCCAAGGATAATATCCTACCTTTCACTAGCAAATTGCCCAACATTTTTTCATTGAACAGCAAGCCAAGAGTAGCTATTCTCCGCGAGCAAGGGACTAACGGGCAATCTGAAATGGCCTTTGCCTTCATGACCGTAGGTCCATCCCTGGGGCGACTGCTTTCTTACCAACGCCTTGCCTCTTGTACACACAGTCCTGACTCTTCTTTTCCCTAGGCTGGCTTCACCGCGATTGATGTGCACATGACCGATCTCATCTCCGGCAAGATTGCGTTATCCAACAATTTTGTGGGCCTGGCTGCATGCGGCGGTTTTTCTTACGGTACTATACGTGTCTCTACTTTTTCTAATTTGCACCCCTTGAGCTCGATCTATGACTCCACGAATACGCCTTAGGATGACTACTGAGACTTCAAAGGCGATGTTTTAGGCGCGGGCCGCGGCTGGGCTTCTACTGTCCTGCTCAACCCTAAGGTCCGCGAAGAATTCCGAGCCTTCTTCGAACGCAAGAATACTTTCACTCTAGGAGTCTGTAACGGATGCCAATTCCTCTCTCGGCTCCAAAGCATCATTCCCGGCGCAGAAGGCTGGCCCACCTTCGAGACGAATATCTCCGAGCAATACGAGGCAAGAGCGTGCATGGTCAAGATCACGGACTCTGACACCGCGCCTAACGTCTTTCTGCACGGCATGCACAACAGCGCGCTTCCCATTGTGGTAGCCCACCGAGAAGGCCGCTCAAGCTTCAAAGCTCCCTCGTCTGCGCAGAAACTGGTGGCTAGTGGGAGGGTGGCAATAAGATACGTGGACAACAACACCCTCGGACCTACGGAGAAATATCCGGAAAACCCGAACGGCAGTCCGTTAGGTATTGCAGGGATCAGCTCTAGCGATGGAAGGTGAGCACACTCATGTCCACTGTGTGGTGCAAGAAGCATTTGTTAATAAGAGTCAGAGTCCTGGCGATCATGCCGCACCCGGAGCGATCGTTCGCAAGCTGGGTCCCGGACGGCAAGAAGGAAGAGTGGGGAGATGTACTCCCTTGGCAGCGACTGTTCTACTCGGCTCGGCGCTGGGTGTCCATATAGGAAAGCGTGTTGGCTGTCACTCTGTCCTTGCAAGGCTCCTTTTGATGATGTTGGATATGACACCGCAGATTGTTCGACGAGGACTCTGGCTTTGGGGAAGATTCATACCTGGATACTTTGGGGGAGAGAGATAGAGTGGCGCCGATATCTACATCCTGGACAAGTCAGAGGCGTGGGACATGAAGATTCAGATTCTCAGTGGGTGAATCAAGGATGCGAAAACGATAGACCCTCGATGATGAGGCAACCGTGCCGCCTTGGAGTAAACTCAAGTGCAGTCCTTGCGTACAACGCCCAATAAATACGTAAGAAATTGAATCAAAAGCCATGAGGTGAGGAGACAACCATTTCCCTTGAACCTTGTTCTCCGGCCAATGCATTTCGTGAATTGGATCTCGTGACAAAGCGTCTCGCCCAAGGCTAGCCCATTGCCAATAAGGACTCCCTCCTTTCGACTTCTCACCCATCCCGCAGCACTCCTTGTACTAGTACTCCCTTCAGGACCCACAGGGGCAAGCTCCGTCCCGCGCGATCGAGCCTTCGTCCTGCGATTCCCCGGCATTCGGTCCTTGCTCCGGATCCACCAACACTGGGCTTTGAGCATCCGCCGGACCATCTCCCCATCTCCCTCCTCCTCCCTATCTGGATGATCTTGCTCCTGTCTCCCCCACCCAGTGACACCCCGGATCGCAGGGCGGCCCTGTGGGATTCTGACTACCTCTTCGACAACTACCTTGGGAAGTGTCAAGAGGTACATGGATAGCCAGGCCGTTTTCCCACCCTTCCCCCCTCAAAGTACCCCCAAAAGATTCCCACTCCATTTTCCCACTCTTGCCATCACAAATCAACCCACCGCACCATCTCCGCAACGCTAAACCCATCTCTGCTACCCATCGTCCCCGGTTCAAATCTCCTTACCGCGGTAGTTACGAACCCACGTTTGAGATAGTACGATTCGTTGATCTCGAGCATCGTTGAGAGCATCAGCATTACTTTGCCTTTCCCTACAGCCTCTTCACGAGTGTTTTCGGTTTCTGGGTCGCCGTCGCCGTTGACGCTATTCCGGTGATGCTGTGCGGGAGGCGTGGGTGATGTGGAGGAAGACGCGCGTGATTTGATCTCCCCTGTCACCTCGGTCTTGCGTGTGACACTGTAGTATTCCAATCTTTTACGTTCCTCATCAATGTCTCCACGGGGTGGTCTGTTGTGGGGTATTCCATTCCCATCAACCTTGAAGATCAACCGTTTTCTGATACTCTCTTTGTTCAGCGAACAACCGTCCCACGAAGAAACCTCATCTATCACTCTTTCCCTGCATCTATCTGCTTCGCTACCGGTTAGATTGGTAATAAGCTTAGGGGTAGTTGTTGATGAGGTAGATGGACTGAGTCGTCTGAGATGTTGGTGAGAAACGGTAGAAAACATATCTGGTTGGCTTCCCTGGATCGAGTCTTCGTCTCCATCTGCAAAGTTATGTTCAGCCGTTGATGCCGTAGTGGATCCGGTCCGTGAGTTCAGCGATTCTGGTACTGGATCTAGGGTTTCCCCCAAAGCTGTTTGTAGCGACTCATTATGGGCTGCGTGATAAGACTCAGAAGGGTCTACCACGACTGTCGTAGGAATTAGAGAAACTGGTACTTCAGGAAAGATATCTTCTCCGGGCGCAGTTTGAAGTTTATTTATATAGCTATACTGTCTCCAGTCTTACTCGTTGAAGATTACCGAGGTTTGGCTTGAGCTACCGGTGTTTCGTCGATTGAGGTTTATTGATAGCTCGGGTAGTACTTGTATCGGTGACGAAGGTGCGCTTGGAATATGGGTCAATACTTCTTCTTGTTCTGCTATCAAAGGCCCGTCTGAAGTTTCGAGTAACTCCTCTTCTGCTCGACTGAGGTTTGTTGATGGCTCGGGTAGTACTTGTATCGGTGACCTTGCAAGCTCGGATGCACCGCGTTGGCTAGGATCTCCCATTTGGGCCATCTCTCCTCATCATCGTCGCCGCTCTTCCCTCTTTCGTTGTTCGTTTCAGGCTTGCTAGCATCGGGAGGCGGTCGCTTGAAAAGCAAATGGGCCCTTTGCCCCATTCCTTCCGGCTTCGTAGGTACGTACGGTTTTGCGCTCACGGTCGCTATTAGTGTCATCCCATTCGCGCGGTTGGTCATGAGACCTTCAATATCCTCGTCCTGCGAAATTTGCGAAGAGAACATGAGGATAGTAAAACCATCGGGCTCTAGTTCGGAAGAGAGTTGGGTCAGAGACTGTAAGCGCGTCGTTGGATCCGGAGGGAGGAGACGGCTGTTGTGGCCACTGATGAGGGATTGATTGTAGGAGTAGTTTAAGAGTTTGACCACGGCGGGAAGACTGGGCGATTGAGCGAGGATGGCTGGGGAGAGAATGGACGTCTTCGTTGTCAGGGACGAAAAGGATGAGGCCATGGGACTGGAGAGCGATGGGTGAGTGTAGTGTGGGATGGATTGGTCAGGAAAGAATTATAATATGATGGGTCATGTGTTGTAAGGGTGCCTCAGGTGTCAGTAGAAAGGATGTCAGATGCCAAGGGTATTATTATCAGTATTTGTGTCACTATCTTGTGTCGAAAACAGTGAGGGACTATTAATACTTTAGTGCTTCAAGGAAAAGAAAAAGGAGTGACGAATGTTCGGAATTGATTGCTAATATCTGACTCGAGATCAAACTTGTACTTTGAAGTAGATACAGTAATCTTGTACAATGGAGACGGTGAGAGTGAGACGGTGATTATCAATCACCGAGGCCTTGGGATGTCGTCTTTCGTGATGCATATGATGTTGCCATCATTCTGCTGAATTGTGTCGGTCGCGCGGCATTTCGAATAGCGAATCTCTGATTGTAGGTAGAGTATGACGGTGACAATGTTGAACATATTTCGGACCATCAACGTCTTTGTGGCATCGATGCCCTATCAAAAAGACGTCCCGTTCTGATTAATCCGTAAGCTCTGGTCCCTGGCGTCGATTTTCTGTATAGTCCGCCACTCCACCGTCATGATACCCTAAAGCAAAGACCACACCCAGCAAGCCCCAGCTTACAACTTCGACCTCCCATCCGAATTTCTTCGTTCCCAATCTTCAACCCTCCTCTTCTCCTCTTCCTGCCGTCTTGAATAGTCCTCCATCTCCCTTTCCCCTCTCCTCTCCCCCTCTTCGACATTATCCAACAACCTCACCGTCTCACCCCACATCTCCATTTTTAACCTCCCATACACCCCCGTCTTCCCCCTATCAAGCAACCCCATCTCCCTTACAAACACCACCACTTCTTCCATTGCCCCAAGACCATCCACCAACCCCTCTTTCAGTCCCTCCAACGCCCCATACCTCTTCGACTCCAAAATCATAGTTCGAAACGTATTCGGACTGGGCACCTTCTGTCTGAAGATTGACGCCATGGGCGATTTCAACGGCGCACCGAAATCGAGCTCATTGAGACACAGAAAGCCCCGGTGCGGATTCATGAGCCGGTAGTCGTGCATCATCGCTGTCATGAAGCCGGCTGCGAAAGCGTGGCCAGGGAGGAGGGCTAGGGTTGGCATTGGGTATCTATCCCATACCAAAGGCGATCAAAGGTTAGTCGCATGGCTCTCGTACACAGATACTGCTTCTGCTCGGTATGGAAAATGGACGTACGTCAACAGCCGCCTCCAAAGCGGATACAAACTCCCACCCCAAAACCTCGCCCCTTCCTTCACCGCACTCTCATAATCCAACCCATTGCTATAAAACTTCTGTATGCCTGACGTCGTCACTACCACCCCTTTCGGAAAGCGGTGGTCCAGTATATCGAGCGCGAGCAGAAATGAGCTGCAGAAGGAGGGGGTTAGGCGGTTGTCGGGGGGGGATTCGAAGGTTAGGAGATAGATGCGGGGCGAGGGTTGCGTGCTGTGGTCATCGATAGAAAGTCAGCCTCGCCTTTCTTGCGCTTCGGGCTGAGCTAGGTGAGGTATTCTGAGGGCGGAGTGGCAGCTGGAAGAATGTTTCGCTCCCAGACTGACCTCGGCATTCATGACTTTGGATGAAAGAAATGGATGAGGAAGTGCATACCATGTTATCCGCCCATTGGGCTGGATTGGAAGTGTGAAGAGTGGGGGAATTGGTGGCATGGCTGTCTTAGGTGGCTAGAAAGATGTCAGAGCTGCCGGCGGCATATGGATATTGTTGATGTGGGGGGGTCTCCGCTGCGGAGTGGCGGGGAACAAAAGCTGGAATCTCAAGCCCTAACGCTAGGCCTAAGGAAGTCTAAATGTCAAGGTTACCGGCGACGTGAATACGAAGTTTAAGCGAAGGCTTTGCAATCATGACATGTTGGACTTGGAACTGAGCCGCTGAGATTCGTGTTCAATAATGTATTTATATCCAAGAAGCGAAAAGGTGCATGAATTGTATGAACAATCACTGTTAGTGCAATATACATTCAATAAATAGCGAGCTCCTATAAGAGGTGGTATAGATGCATCATGATGAGCCGCTCCCCAACAATATGCCCAATACGCCTCCCTCTTTTCCAAAATGTTAGACGCAGACCAAGCATTACCCAAGTAGAGCAGCAGAAAGCCGACCAAGACGCCTAGTATCGTATGCAAAATGGCGGAAGCCTCCAAAAAGGTATCGAACATCATGTCAGCGCCACTCCCAGCGTCGTCTCCAATAGCATCTCCAACATATCCTCAAAATTATGCTCAAACCATCCACGAACTCATCAATTAGCAGTTACCATCCTGCCAGCACTCTCTTTCCTGCCAAACATCCTTCCCAACCTCCCCTTCGCACCGCCCTTTCTTTCCCACTCCCCTCCCTCTTCCATCTTCTTTCCTTTGTTCGGACTTTCCAGGACCGTCACACCAGGCGTGTTCAAAACATTCGCATACATATTGGCATCCCTGTTCACCTCCATAGGCCTCGGATAGATACCCGTTTCAACTTCTTTTTGGTAGCTTGGACCGCGAATCATAGGCGGCGGCTGCTTCTGCAACTTGCTCCTCGACGAGCCGGTCTGATTGGAGCCTGCACGAGGTCTGGCGGCCTTCTTCATGGTTTCCTCACAGCTTTCATAGCGAACGTCGTCGTATGGGGACTGTCCCTGTTGTCGACTTTGAGAGCGCGAGTAGGGGTCGTCTGGTCTTGTGGGGTTCCTTTGGAGAGGTGAATCTGGCCGTTTAAGGTAAGAGGGGCTAGGATCTTCGTGCCGTGTATAAGACCGAGAAGGGGGAGATTCTGGTCGGCCGAAAGGGTTCTCCTGCCGTGTCTGGGACAGGGAGCTCATGTAAGGAGATCCTGATCGCATATTATTGATAGAAGGCTGCTGGGAGAGGTTCCCAGGGCCACGTAGATGTTCGACGGACGCGCCACGGTAGCGGTGTAAAGTGCGCTCTATGCCATCATTGGAGACGATTGGCGCGGAGATCGAATCTTTCTTCACATGGCCACGCGTTTGGTCCCGAGCGTATGGGTTCGCCCCTGACACCTCTTGCTCTCTCTTCGCCTTGCGCCCACGGCCGCCGGACTTCATAAGCTGTCCAATGTGCGTCTTAGCCTCTTTGTATTGATCCAGACCAGGCAACGCAGGCAACGGTCTGTTGAGATTGGGTCCGCCGTTCTTCTTAAGCTTCCTTGGCTCTTCTTCCTCAGGCCTTGCGCTACGAAAGGAGCTCCAGCTGCCCTTCCTTCGCAGGCCACTTCCTTTCCACCAACTGCCGCGTCGGCCAACGCTGCTACTTCGGCTACCCGATCGCGACAGACCGGAAGCATTGGAAAAACCAGAACGCATACTGTCTTGGCTTGCGCGAGGTCTGATGTAGTTGCTGATTCCGGAGGCTATACTGCTCCCTATGCTGCTGGCCCTGCTCAAAGGCCGTTCGTATTCCGAGTCGCTGTCTTCCCTCATAGAAAGTTTGGACCTTGACCTCTTGGATGCGCGGCTGCCTGGTCTGGCTGCACGTCCGCTGTTGTTGTACCTGTCCTCGGCCTGCTGAATCAGAAGCTTCTTTCGTCTCCAGAGCTTAGCTTGTTCGCTTTCTTCGCTCTGGTGAGATTCGTCGGACGGTCGTCTATGATGAGACGAACCATACGATGGACGCCTGTTGTAGTCGAATGAGGGGGCTTTTTTATCGTCGCCAGGTGTGAGGGCCGCTGAAGTCGCTGCAGTCGAAGTTGGGCGTGGAAATTTGTTGTCGTAGTCTGTATACGAGCGGGAGGTCGACTTGCTTGATTCGCCTGATGCACCACTGTAGTCTATACAAGCAGCAGCCGAGGTTTTGGGCCGGAAGTGGAGACTATCACGGATGTGGTTGAGTGCAGGGTCTTCCACCTCTTTCTGTTTTCTTCGAGGATTGCTGGTTGTTAAGATTTGGGGTGGTTTTGGATCAATTCGATCCATTAAAGATTCAATTTCCTTCTGCTTTGAATTGGTACTGTTCGACATTGTGCGCGTTGGCTGGACGGGTCGCTCCATCTTTTTCAGCGTGGCCTTGAGGCCTTCGGAGATTGCTGTATGTGTTGGCCCGTTCGACCCATCCAACTCCTTTTGCTTGCCTTTGAAGTTGCTAGTTGTGGCTACCGGTGATAGTTCGATGAGATCAGACTCTCTTTGCTTGCCCTTGACGTTGTTAGATATTGCGGTGTTGACTGGCTCGGGCGGCTCGACAGCCTCTCGCGGTTTGGGTCGACTGTTGTTGACTATGGTGGCATGTACTGGTGGGAGGAACTCGATTCTTGCGGCACTTCCAGTCTCCGAAGGTCTCCGCTGTCCGTGCAGAGCCTCGTAGCTTGCAGTCTTGGGAATCGCACTGGTATAAGAAGCCGCGCCTTCCGGTCCGAACAACGGGATATCCTCACGAGGACGGCGGGTTTCATATTTTGTAGCTTTTTCCTGTCGGGGATGCTCCTCTCGATTTTCTGGTTGCCGAATTTGAGACTGCTCCTTTCGACCCATAGCCATTCGAGATTCCACTTTCCTCGCAAGCTCCTTCCTAGCCTCCGTCTCCACCTTGCGGGCATATGCCTTCTGCGCTTTCTCGTTCAGACGTTGCTCAGCACGATTTGCCGATGCCTGTTGTGACTTGACATCAATCTTTTGTGGTTTCGCGAGACGAGCTTGAGCAGCATGTCTGGCCTTGCGCTCCTCTTCGTGTCTCCTCAATGTTTCTCGGTGATCTGGCTCCTCATCTGGATCTGGAGGATTGGTCTCGTTTACTATGATGGCACATGCATGACGCAAGTCAATCAGCATGTGTGGTTGTACGCTCGGTCGCTCCATCTCGGACTCTGTTGGGCTGTAGGGTGGGGATGTATCTATGTCATAATCTGTGGGTGCTTCTGCCGCTTGCGTAGAAGTCTTCTGTGGGTCTGTTAGCTACTGTTCTTGTTCGGGAATGTGGTGAAATGCAGCAGATGACGCGATA